GAAAAAAAATATTTTGTACAAATATTTTTACTTGAAAAAATAATTTCCCGCTTTGAATTTAACAATCTTTTGAGCATGATCGCGTGTACACTTGTCGGAAACCAAATAAACCATTAATCAAGACAACAAACGTAAAAATATTACTTTGAATATTTCAGTCATTTCATTTTGATCAGTAAAGAACTGTCTGTTGGATAAAAAACAATAACACACATCACAAATGTTGTAAATCTGTGGTGAGGAGGCAGAGAACTCACTCGCTGAAAACGTAAGTATTCTACATCAAAGATGGCGGATAATAATTTAAATAATATTCTTAGTCAATATTAAATGAAGTCTACCACAGTCTTATTTCTAATTTGTATTATAAAATCATTACAGGTAGTATAACGATTATTATATATAATTATATATTAAATGAATATTTCAGTTTTGGGGACTTTTTTGGAAGTAGAGAAGATTTATTCTTTTCAAGCAAACATGTGATCATATATTCATTTTTTAAAAGTGCTTTTCTTTAGATTTTATTAAAAAAACCATCGAAATGATAATGACAGTATTTTCAAAACGAAAAAAATAGAAAAAGAGAATGATTCATGCCAAAAGATGAAAATAATGTAATCAAATAAAAGAAAACGATGAAAATAAAAGCAACTGAATACAAATAAAAAAGTGAAAGAAAAAAGAACCACAGAAACAAAGAAAGAAATAAAGAAAGAAAAAAGAACCACAGAAACAAAGAAAGAAATAAAGAAAGAAAAAAGAACCACAGAAACAAAGAAAGAAATAAAGAAAGAAAAAAGAACCACAGAAACAAAGAAAGAAATAAAGAAAGAAAAGAAAAAGAAATAAAGAAAAGAAAAAGAACCACAGAAACAAAAAAATAAAGAAAGAAAAAAGAAAAAACAAAGAAAGAAATAAAGAAAGAAAAAGAACCACAGAAAAAAAGAAAAAAAAAAAAGAACCACAGAAACAAAAGAAAAGAAATAAAAAAAAAGAGACAAATAAAAACACCTAAAGGCCAAAACCTAAAGGCCAAAAGGATTTTTAAATATGTTTTGCAATTGGTTTTATCGGGTCCAATTCAACCACTGAACAAGAATTTTAAAATTATATACATATATAAACATTTGAATAGATGAGTCAATAAATATTTTTTTAATAAAATCCAAAGTGAAATACGCTCGCGAAACATCAGTTGAACAAATTGAAAAAGAAAAAGAAACACAATTAAACAATAATAAGTACAAGTTTAAAAAGGACAGTTAAAATAAATAGCCTTTTTTATTATTTTGTATGTATACGTGTTAAAAGTACCAGCATATATTTAGTGCACTCACACATTAAAAAAGGAAGAAAATGCAATCATAATTGTATGCAGGATCAAGAGCTGGTACGCACATGCGCGCGTATAAAAGCACTGAACGAAAATAAAGGGAAGTAATTGCTTTCTTTACACTAATATTTTTTTTTTTTGCCTTTAATAACGGATTGAGAATTCTTTCTTGATATTTGTCAATTTAGAATAGTCAAGCATATCACCCTATTATGCTGCCGTAATTTTCTGATTAGATATCTTTCATCAGAATTTATTCCGAAGATTTTTTATTTTCTTTTTTTAATGCTTTTCTTTAAGTAATTAAAAAAGAAAAAATGTGCGGCTTTCTTATTTCATTTAAAGAATTAAAAAAAAAACTATTTAATTCTTCTCTTATTATTCCATTATATCCGTTGTTGTCTTTAAATTCGTGGATCCAACTTTATTCACTTTGTGGCATTATATTCTTTCTGCATTTTTCACTCTCACTGAACATTTAAAAAAATACGTTTCCTTTTCTTTTCATTTTTTGAATTTTTTTCAAACATTTCTTTTCCTATATTTGTTTAAATGAAAAGTTGACATTTAATTATTCGATAGCGCTAAGAACAGTTATAACCACTTTTAAGTGATCGGTCTTCACTGATATAATACCATCAAAAAGATGCCAATTTTCATAAATTAGAGTTATCTTAAAAGCGCTTTTTATGGTTCCTTGAAGATAATAGAAATGCAAAAAGAATATAAAGGAATACTATTATTACTATTTCAGTAGAGGTGAAGATAACGCTAATGATGATACTAACAATACATAAAGAAGAACAATCATAAAAAAAAGAATAAGCGTGTAAATTATAATAACAATAGGAGTGAAAATAGAATAGAAAATGACTTAGATTTGTAAAAATTATAAAATATTTTTCTAATATCATTGCTTTTCAAGTAGGACTATTCATCCCAAACACTTATACGATTATAACGATGAAATAAGTGTGACGTCAGAAAAAAGCATCTATAATTAAAATAATGGAAATATTATTTTTAATCAAATTATAAATAAAATTAAAGATTAAAAATTAATTGCCTAATACGTAAATTATGAGAAAAATTCTTAAAATTATATGATTATAATAATAATGATTAATAATAATAATAATAATAATAATAATAATGATTAATAATAAAAATAATAATAAATAATAATAATAAAAATAATAATAATAAAACTATCAAAATACAAGGATCTTGAAATGGAACTCTCAAAAATAAGGACATCAACAATTCCAGTTGTAGTTGGAGCCCACGGATTGATTGGAAAAGATTCCGATAGAATCATTGAAGGGATTCCTGGTAGTCCATGCCTTAAAGAAATGAAAAAATTGTATTCAGAAGTACAGCCCACACCTTACGAAGGACTTTATGTGAAATGTGTGTAATTTTAGAGTTTTTGATCTTAGGTCTCTGATTAGGACCCGGAAAAAGTGAGTATACAACAGATACCAAAGGAAATAAAATAATAATAAGCATACATACCGAAAATTTGTGTTAACTTGAAATGTAGATTTTGTGATAAGTATCCAGAAAACAATTTGACTATCAGGTTATACAGTGTTAGCAGCCACTGAACATAAAACTCGGCATAACAGAGTGGGTGGATTTCTGTACTGGAAAATATGAAACTTTTATGGGAAGGAAACTGCAAGAACATCACCCAAACCACATTACAAATATAGGACCTGTAACAATTTCATGGGACTTTACAATACACACAGACAGAACAATCAAAACCAATCGACCTGACATCTTGATCAAAGACCACGAGAATAGAATGTACTTTCTAATTGGTATGGCTATCCCTGCAGATAGATTTCAGAAAACTATCAAAATACAAGGATCGTGAAGTGGAAATCTCAAAGATGTGGCACATGAGGACATCAATAATTTCAGATGAAGCTGGAGTCCTCGGTTGATTCTGAAATTTTCCGATAGACTCAATGAAGGGATTCCTACTACCCCTTGCCTTAAAGAAATATATATATAAAAATTGTAATCATAAGTACAGCTCACACATAACAAACAGCTTTATCTTGTAAAATGTTTGATCTTAAGTTTATTTTTCTTTTTTCTTTTATAAAAATAATCATTGAAAAATGTCATGAAACCATTTATGACCTTAGGTCTCTGATTGGGGCCCGGATGGAAATGTGTATAGAAAACAAATAATAACAATAATAATAAATGCCTTTATGCTACAACAAACATGGCTCTTATGACTGATCATAAGTGATTGAAAATGTTAAGTAAATGATTTTTGGTGAAATAATATCCCATTCCGTAGCCTATATTTGATTGTCAGTTAACATGCTCAAAACTTTTGCGAATGGAGTAATGGTGGAACATCATGTGCGGAGATCGATAGACATTTTTCTTCTTTTTATTTTAAGTTTAAAGCATGATCTATCCAAGAGGACTATGAAGTCACACCTATATACTTGGAAATATCGTCAATTGGTGATCATCTGGGCTTTCTGGGCCTGAAGTGTATTTATAATTACATTCCCACACCACTAGTTTATGTTTTCCCGTTATAGAAACACTAGTTGTTAGACATAAGTTGTATTGTAAGTTTTTTTTTTAAAGCACTATACAAACCTTATTAAAACTACTATCTAATTATGTATCTGAATCAATATTTTCATATCTATCTATCTATCTATCTATCTATCTATTTCAATCAATTTTAAAAACTGAAGTTTTTCATTTTCTTTCTCTCTCACTGATTATCAACCTCGGTATAATAACACCTTTCACAATTTATTTGAGCGACTAAAACTATTGTTTTATTTATCTATAAGTCGTTCAACCTGACTAACTAGGCATCTTTCTGTGTTATATTTCAAAAATATATAAATGTGAGGTATCTTAATTAGATGTAGATGCAGTGTTGACAGTTTTGGGCTTGAGTTTCATGATGTAAGTAAAAAAGGCCCTCATATATATGCATGTGTGTAGTTTTACATCTGTATTTATCTCAATATTATTAAATACATATTTGTCTATTTCAAATTCTTCATAAACTTCTATATTTAAAAACATATTCGCATTTAATATAGATTAAGATATTGTCATCACATTATTTAAGACATGATGACTTACTAAAATCTACGCAAGTGGGAAAATCAATAAGCTAGTTTTCCAATAAAGGTAAAAGGATTTGACAGAGTAAAATGAAGTCAGACAAATGGGTTATCTTCGTGGTTTAGTAAGCTGTGCAATTACACAACGCTAGTGGTTGGTGTATGCGCAAAGTAAAAGCTAATATTTTAATTGCAGATTTTCCGTTTGGAAAATCACTGAAAGGAGATTATCCTAACCCCATTTCTTTTTATTTGGTATTGTGATGTACTAAAATTCATTTCACAAATAGAAAGAAAGAAATTAAAGTAATACAGAAGACTGTAACATGTACGTTAGCAAGAATTACCAAACGTTTTTGGAGAGAATGATTCTGTTGAAGAGAAAGAAAAATATTCAAGTGTTACAATAAATTTAACATATGAACATTAGCATGACTTACGAAATATTTTTTGACAGAATGATTATTATAAGGAGAAGAAACAAATCATTCCAGTAATACAGGAGACTATAACATAAGAAGCATGGCATAACATAGCAAAAAATTTCATGTAGAAAGAAAGAAAGAAAGAAAGAAAGAAAGAAAGAAAGAAAGAAAGAAAGACAGAAAAAGGTTTAAAGAAAAGAAAGAAGACATAAAAGTTAGAAGACATAAAAGAAAGAAGACAGAAAAAAAGAAAAAGAAAGAAAAAAGAAATAAAGAAAGAAGCAGAAATAAAGAAAAAGAAGAAAAAAGAAAAAGAAGAAAGAAAGAAAAAGAAGAAAAAGAAAAAAAGAAGAAAGAAAGAAAAAAGAAAAAGAAAAGAAACAAAGAAATAAACAAAGAAAAGAAAGAAACAAACAAAGAAGGAACAAAGAAATAAACAAAGAAAAGAAAGAAAGAAAGGAAGGAAGAAGTAGAAGGATTAAAAAGACGAAAGAAGAAACAAAAGATAAAGACAGAAGAAGATAAAGAAAGAGGATAAAGAAGAAATGAAAAGAAAG